CCCATACTGTTATACTATGTAGAGTGTAATCCATTATGAGTGAAAGTATAATAATAGAGGAGATAGTAAAATGCTGATGTGGCATGTGGATTATACTCTATGCCCTTATGAGTCTAAAAAAATAAGTCCAAATCTAGACCCTCTTGGATTTGGGTATCCAATGGGTATTCATTGTATTTTTATAAACACACTAAAATAAAATATATTAAAATATATAAATTTCAAAAAAAATATAAATACCATCCAATTTTTATTTTCAAATAATAATATTAATATCCAAGAAGTTGAATGCAATATTATGAACTCAAAAAAATAACAGCTATCGACTATTTCTATTTATTTTTAAAACTTCAACTATATCTATGTCAAATCTTTCATTTATTTATCTTTACTTTTTCTCTTTTTTCTCAAAAAGTTTTGGCTAATTACAATGACAACTAGAATTAGGTTGAAAAAAGGAAACAATCATGAATTCTTACTGTATCTGATCCAATAATCATAGAATATTAGAATATTTTATAAATTTACTAATATATATATATATATAATTTAATTATATATGCATGGGTCTAGGTAGGGTTTGGTATGTATTTGGATTTGAATCTGGATTATAGAAAAATCAGACCCTACCTAGACTCATAACTCTTTTATAGGATTTGAGTCTGGTTAGGGTCTGTGTTTGAGAAATTAAATCTAAACCCCGTCTAAATACATCGGGTTTGGGTAAGATCCAATCCATTATGTACAACTTGTCATGATTCTAAATGTTATTGCTCGTAATCTTTGTCATTATGCTTGTAATATTTCAAATGCTTGGTTTTGGGAGTTTGTTTTCCATGGTTTGTTATTTGTGCGCTTGTTGCGGACTTGATTTCTTCTTAATAAAAATTAGTTGTTCTATCCCAAAAAAGAAAAAAAAAAAACAAGAGTCGTGATTTGGCTATACTTTTTATCAACAAAAAGAGAATCAACAATGATTTTCAATATAACCTCTTGATTACAATGAAAAATGAAGAAAATGTCACGAATTTAATTGCGTTCACTCTATTCACGTGTTGACTTTTTATGTTAATTGTATTATACTTCTATTTTAGTTAAAAGATTAGAGATTGCTATTTTTATTGATATTTTACCTTACTTAGTAGATGAGGTTTTGGTATATGATAGGAAGGTTGTGTAGAGATCAGAAGGCATGTAAAAAATCACTTTTTGTTAACGGTTAATTACGCTCGGGAAGCAAGATAAGAGGGATTTTGTTAAATTTTAAGCCAAGACAATCAGCACCCACTAAATAAAGTAGCTTTATATTATTTTACATTATCAATTGCCCAAAACTTTCATGTCTTCTCTGACTTTCATACTTTTACCTTTATCAATGTTTGGGTTTTGATTTTTTGATCCCTCACTTTCCTAATAATACATTTACATGCCTCACAAAAGTGATATGCACCAACTTGATCCCAAACTTTAATTCCGACCACAGTATTGCCTGAATCCATGATAAGACCAGGACACATATAACGAAATTTATAGGGACAACAAATTAGAGATTTTAACCCACCAACATGATCCGACCTTTTTTATCCAATCTTAGAATATCTTTTGATCTATCCAACATCTTTGTAGACTCAAAAATTGAGAGAAAATAATCAACAAAAAGGCAAAAGTCAATTAGTTTTCATCTGCCCAGAGGTACCAATGACACAAATCAATAAAAATGGCAGGGCAATGAAGGTGAGAAAGTCTTGAAAATTAAGACTTTGTTTGGATAGAGTATTATTTGAAATAATTATTGTAACACGTTTTATGATGTGATGTATGTAAGATAAAAAGGTGGATTGGAAAATGTATTTATGATGCAAACAAAATATTATCTGAAAAAAATTTGATATCCAAATAAACAATCCAACGAGCAACAACGAACACGGGCAAACTGGGGCAGATGGATTTGTAAATAATCCGAGAAGTATTAAATTTAAGTTTGAACTTTATTATTTTGCTCCCTCAACAAGTTTTTTTTTTATTAGTCAACGTGTTTATCTCCTTTAATTTCTTTTTAAAAACATGTTTTAAAATAACTCACTCTAGGTTTTTTATATATTTTTTAAAATTTTATTATTATAACTTTAATGTATTTAGTGTATCCTTATATTAATTAAGGTAACGAAACATATAATTGACAAAAAAAAAAAGGAAATCTAATCGTGTTTAGAATTGTATTTAAACATTTTTTTTCCGAAGACGATAATTGTTGTATAACTTAATCTATTCTACACTAAGGGGGAGGGGGTGGACCTAAGGAGGTCCAGGAATAATCCGGAGGGGACTGAACCACCACTAGACCAAACGAGTGCACAATACACCCGCCTGAATTTTTTAAAACAAACCACTTAAATGTGTCAATTTGGTGGGAGGAAAGGAACCCCACCAAATTAGGTGGTGGCCACCAGCCCAAAGCCCAAAGGCTGGTGGTTAGAATTGTATTTATACATGATTGACTTGATACATTAGTCAAAAGTCAACTCCGAAATGAACAAGCATTATTGATCTTTCCCCACGTTCATTCAATTCATCTCAAGCATCCATCCTTCACAAAATGCCATTTTCTCAAGGCAAGTATTAATTTGTATTCCTTTACAATTCTAAGTTTTTCCTTTACAATTCCTTTATATTTTTTATTCATAATCATTAATTATTTAGACACGTACACTTTATTTTAAATTTGTGATTTAGATTTTTTTTTATGATTATTAATTTGTCAATCATTCTTATTCTAAATTTGTAACTTAGAATGTTTGTGTTAACTTATATAGGTTAATGTCTATTTATTGAATTTAGTAAATGTTTACATGATTTTGATTCATGACTTAACTTTCATATTTTGCTTATACTCTCTCTCTTCTCATTAAAAACATTTAGTTGTTAGTTAGCACCTAGTAAATTTTGGTGTTAAGACTTTGGTTTCTAGTTAGTGTGGATCATTTGTTTTAATAATTTTTTGTTACTTATTGTTTGATCGTTTGCTTCGCCCCTAAATCAAAATCTTGCGTCCGTCCCTGAAGACGCAATGATATGGGTTGTATGATACACATGTTAAAATTTTCACTTTGACCCTATCGTACCTATAAAATTTACCACTAATAATCAGGGATGTTCATGAACTGAGTAACCAGTTCATTTGCAATTTCACTAACCCTAAGTACAAGTAACGGTTCAACAAAATTGCATTTCATACCCTAGCCCTATTCAATAGGTTAACCGCTAACCGGTTATTTTGTAGGATAGGCTTGGATATACATGGTAATTTAACCCTCTGGTACTTATAGGAAAAAAAATAAAAGAAAAACATAATTAGATTAACAAGGAAAGCAATACAATAGTTATCTAAATCAATACAATTGTTTAATCCTACAACTCTAGAAACCACCAACCAAATAGAAGATCGAAACATAATAGATAATTAAAGTATAAAATATTTTAAACATTTGTTTTCATTTTCTCTACTTCTTGAAAGCTACTAATTCATTTTTTATTAAGGTTGATAGGTTGATTCACAACCAAACATGTAAGCTCTATATATTAAAAATAAACTGAGTAGAGTTGTGAAATGGATAGAATTTATGAGAAAGGAAAATTTTTTTTGAAGTAAGGCGAAGAAATAGAGTAGCAGAATAAATGACATTAGCAGCGACGAATATAGAAAATGGAAAAAATAAATAAAAAATAAGATTAAATATACAAGTTTATAAGTTGTGAAAAATAAAATGTACATTAGCATGGGTCTTGTAACTTAAATTATTAATAAACTACTAAATAATTATAGGTTGAAGTTTGGATACCAGTTATCTTAAGCAACCTTATACATATGTGGGTACGTTTGGATGATCACGAGTTTTGAAATTTAAAAGTCATACCCTAACCTAATTTATCAAGTACGTATGGAACTATTTTGAAAGCTACGGATTGGTTACTTATATTTTGAATTGGACCAATTCGATTTTCTTGATTATTCGCTTTTTTCGATTCTTTTTGAACACCCCTACTAATAATTGTGATTGTTTCAAGCAAAAAGTGATTGAAATTTGGGACTAAATTGGTATATTTAACCAATGTAAGAAATGTAAACGTAACATTTTAAAAGTGAAGGACTAAGCAAAACAAACAGCCATATGAGGGACGTTACATTTCATGCATTTTCTCCCTGTTTGACACGGGAGTTTTTTGCTAAGTTTGTCTGTTACAAATTTTTTTAAAATTTTAACTATAATAATCTCAAAAAATTTTTAAAAATTTTTAAATTATACACTTTAAAATATTTAAAAATTTACATACTTCAAAAAATTTTTTAAAAATTTTTACAATAAATTACAATAAAATTTTAAACAACATCCAAAAAACTCACTTCCGAATCGGACCATGTGTTGGTGTTGGACGAAGTTACAAGTACAAAAAAAAAAGGCACTATAGAAAAGGGCACTATAGAACCTAGAAAGCGACAGCAAACCTGCATAGGTAACATCGGTCTACCCTTTTATGGGAGAAGGAGAATGGGTTATCCTCGGCCTCCGCTCTAGTACTCCAGTCCTCCAGTCAACCCTGCTAGGTGACTATCTTCTTCTTCTTGAAAACGCTAATCTTCAATCAGTTCAGTTTTCTTGATCAGGGTTTGCGTTGTTCTATGCAATTATGTTGGCAAATGAGCTATACGTTCTGTTTAATTGTGAGGAGAAAATTTGATGGCTGTGATCTCTGCTAATAACGCTATCAAAGGTCTGTATTCATAAGGTATGCATCTTTTTGCTCTTTTTAGTTGGATGGTCAAATTGCAGCTAAAACAGAATTAAATTCCTTCAACGCGAGATTGAAGATTTTAATTCTTTTTTGGGTGCTTAGTGAAACTGTGGGCTTTTTCCCTTGTTTTCTTTTTGGTGGTGGTGGTGTTTTTGGGGGGGGGGGGGTAGAGTAGAGGGTGGGTAAGAAAACTGTGGTTTATTGTTCCTTCCATTTTCTCTTTTTTTTCCCCTTTCTGCTGGTTGGGGTTTGATGAAGTATGGATTTTGAGAAAATCGCGTTTTCTTAAAGGTGTTAAGAGTTATGTAAAATTGGCTAACATGATCTGTTAGTTGATTTTCCCAGTCTTCAGTGGAGATGAGATGAAAACTAGTGAAAAGGGCATGCTACAGGCCTCCTAGTTTAAGCTTGCTTAATTTTGGGTTGTTTATGATAACGGTCTTTTTCTTCTGATTTCTGTAGATGTAGCCAAAAATTGTACATTTGCATACACAGTCACACTGTCAGCACAAATGGCATTCACAATAAATAGCTCAAATTTTGCGCTTTCTTGATTAATTATGTCATGTCTTTTCACAAAGTTTCCGAAGTTGTATCAACAATTCAGGCACTCCTTGTATTTGGAGAGTCAATTGTCTTGGCTTAAAGGACTGAGACTCAATCTTGAATCGAATTGCGAGGTTGAGGAGAAAATTAGGAGTCTTTTGTTTAATTGGTTGATATTACAAGTTGGATGTCACCTTGGGTGTGATCAAGAAGCCAAGCATGTCACTTCTGTAACATTTGATGCTTATTGCATGTGACCGCAAATGGTGATCTTCTTCTATCTTTGCCTCCAAAGTTAAATCCATCTTACTTCTTTGATCACCTTTGGTAGGAGAGTCAAGATTATGTGGCAAACTTCAATGAAATTGTGTGTTTGAGAATTTTGAGGGTGAAATAAGAGAGAATGTTTGTTAGACTGGCCAAAGTCAAGACAGAGTTGATCAGAGATGAGACTAACCCCAGCCAGCTATATATGTAGTAGTCTGAGGTATCATCTTTGTAATGTTCATGTAAAGTGAGAACCTAGGTAATAACTACTAATCATGTGAACTAAGGTGATCATATGATTACTTTCACCTTAATTTGTTGACTTTCTCTGCATTATAAGTCTATTCAATGTAAATAATCAAACCAGAGACCACAGCATTTATTGCACATAAAGCATGGCTTTTGGGATCAGATTAGCAGGATAACCTATTTCATAAGTGTTTGTTCCCAAACAATTGAAAGAAATTGAAAGATGACAACAGAGGAAATGTATAGTAGTTTGTGACAAGGACCTATGCACTTGTTTTGCTAAGTGCATGTGAAATTTCTAAATTTTGTTTTTGGAAACAGATATGAAAGTCTAGTATTACTTATTAAGGAGAGTGCTTTCTTAGTTCATTAATTGTGCAAAGATCCGCAATATATTCCTTCCAACCCAGATGCAATCCTACTCATGGAGTGGATTAAATTTAATAATTCGATGGAAACTATTTCACAAAATTTTTTCCCTAACAATTGAAAGAAAATGAAAGACTACAGAGGAAGTGTATATTAGTTTGTGACGAGGACATGTGCACTAGGTTTGCTAAGTGCATTTCAAATTTCTAAATTTTCTTTTTGGAAACTGATATGTGAGCCTAGTATTACTTTTAAGGAGAGTGCTCACTCAGTTCTGTTCATTAATGCAAAGATATACAATAACCTGCTAAAACTCATGAAATCCTACTCATGGAAGAATTTAGAGGCTCTCTTTTCTGGAGCCCAAGCATGTGCATACCACTACACAATTATTTCATGGCAACCTGAAATTCTGGTAGCCTATTTGTTGGAGCTATTGAATAGGTGATTAAATGTTCTGTCAGGAAGCCTAGTTTAGGGGTTCCTCTCTGGTTCAATATAGAGATATGTTAAAGGGCGTAACTCTGAAAAAGTGAATCAATACAGGATAGGAAACCTTCATGAAGTCTGGTTGAATTACCTTAGAAAGATACATGGATTGGATATATTTGGAGCCATGTATATAGCTTTAGCTTTCAATAAGCAAGGAAGATGGCTTTCTTGAGGTAAGTCAGCTGATGTATAGTGATCTGAAAAAGACAGTCCAGTTTCTTACATATCACCTATAAATGAGCAAGAATATACTCTCCTTTTCTTTTTGGAACCTCCAACCAATCTTTATAAACTCGTGTACAGTTTCTGGATGAGTGATAGGACTTCTAGATTGAAGTTTGATCATTTGGAAGGCATTTCTACATTTGGAGCATATTTAGTCGTATTAAGCTACCATAACTGTATTAGGAAGGGGGGGTGGGGAAAATCTTGTACCGTAATGGTGCTTGTCTTGATATTAGTGCTTTATATGGGATAGATAATGATATTCTTTTGGAGGTAATCTAGACTGTGCCAAATGAGATGTTAGACTTTGAAGATGGGCTTAAATAAATATGACAGTATTTAAATGAGCTCTCCTGAAAATTTACCTTAAAATTACAGATAACACTGTTCATAAAGGGAGATTGAGCATTGAAGGGGTAGATATCAGCTTTCTCAGATAGATGGGCTATGCAAAACAAAATCCATCTATGCATAGATGAGTAAGCTGGTTCATTTCTGTTCTGACCTATTCCAGCTTCTTACCATGATTTTGATTGCATATATAGATATATGCTCTTGGAACTTTTGATCCCTTGCATTTCACTATACTGTTTTGATACAAGTTGCAGTTTCTTTACCATCTTCTGTTTTAGATTTCTTTCTAGTTCCTGGTGAGTTTGAGGAATGCTATTCTGACCATAACACAAGCATAATCAAATGAACTTCTTGTGACACCATGAACTTATTGTGTTAACCATAGTTACTTGCTCTATTTGGATGACTTTGGCGTAATTTAGCATTTTGGTGGAGAATTGGAGGCTTAATTTAGGTGCTTTATTCATAGCTACTCAAGGCGTATGTTTGATACATATCTCTTTAACATGTGGAGTGGTTTCTGGATAATAATTATTCCTACAGGTTCTGATTTCCACAGATCTCATTATTTGATAGTTGTTGTTGCATATTGTCTTTGTTTTTTGTCTGAAAAGTTGAAATGAAAGAATCAGCATAATCTATGTTCCAAACCTCTCAAAGTCTGCTAAAACTGTAAAACCACATTTTCATTTTGTATTTTCTTGATCTTCATTAAGTTGGTCTTGTTTAAGCATAAATACCTGTTTTTATGATGTTAGATATTCAGGAAACTGGTTTTCTCAGTTTCTAAAATTTCCATCAAGCAAAAAATTTTGAAAGCAAAGCAGATATCTAGCAGAGGAGACAAGTATGACAAGGAATCTTCAAACCTCAGCTGAAAAAGACTTTTTGTGAACATTCACTATTTCCCAATGCAGAAAATGTGGAGAAAATAGGAAAGGTCTTTTGGTATACCAGGAATACGATAAAGTGTTACCATGGACCCTTGTTGAGATAGAGTGTATCTACCTCATTTATACTTGCAAAATGTTTGGTAACCTAAAGTAACAATCTCTTTGTTTCTGGACTGCATGCTTCTTGGTACACAAGGGGCACACGAAATCCCTTTAAGGTGCCTTTGTGAATCTAGACCATCGAACTCATGAAGATGGATTCCCGTTGATCCTTTGTACTAGCTGCTGGTAGTGAGATACCATTGCGAAAACAGTAACCATTAATAACAGTTTCATTTCCCTTGTATTGCTTGTGATATGTTCTTATCTTTGGTACAGCATTACTTGCCTCTTACGTAACAAGCATTACTCCTTTGTTCCTTTGACTAATGGATGATCAAGGACATTAGCGGATCCTTATGTTTTAAAACATGTCTTGATTCAGGGTTTTTAATGCTCTTTCTCTTCAGTGAAGTAAGTAATCGGATCAAAAGATCAAAGCTAATATAGTTTGATCTTGTTCAACTAGGTTTAGTCCTTCCATCATTAATGTCAGAAAGTACAAAAGCCGTATTTTTTTTTATCGTGGTATGAGCACAAATATTAAATTCTTATCCTTCTAAAGAGTTGACGTCCTTTTATGTTACTCATTTTTGGATTTTTTCTACAGCTTCACTCAGGGCTTTGCTGGATGTTTAGTCTAATAAGTTGATGGCAGACAAATCCATTAGCTTTCTAAAGTCAGTTAAGCAAAGAGCATCATGGAAGAAAGAGCGGGAGGAAGAGAAGAGAAAGCAGTATGAGAGCCGAATTCCCTATCTTCCGACAGAGTGCATATCAAATATACTTGTTCGACTGCCTCTTGAATCACTCCAAAGGTCTAGGTTCGTCTGTAAGACATGGTACAAGATTGTCAACTGTTGCATTTTCATTGAAGCCTATCTTCAACGTTCTGAAAGCGTCTTAATTTTTCTAGTTCCACCAAAAAGAGATGTCTTCTTTCCTTATAGCAGACCCAACTTGCAAGAGCATTCTAATGTTTTCTCTGTTGAGTCTAAGCTTTTTCAATTGCAATCTGTGCCCGTACTTCAGCGACCTCTTATGGATCCGACCTCATTGCTTCACATCAAGTTCATGGAAATAGAAAATGGCAAGATGAAGGTGGAAGAGTATAATGCCACTTGTCTGGGAGCAGTAAGAGCTGCTTGCGGTGGTCTAATCTTACTTGATAACAAAATGAAAAAAGGTGGATTAATTGCCTTGAATCCTGTTACTAGGGAATTGACTGCACTTCCTTTAGGTACTTTATTCCCTCCTCATAGTGAATCATATGGACTTGCATTTAGCCAGACTGCCAGACATTTCAAACTGGTTCACTTGTTCCGGGATGAGATGCAATATGTTAGCTGCGAAATACTCAATCTTGGAGCTAGATCCTGGAGAATGGTTGATGGACCTGCATTTGGAGCTTTTGGTTGGTTTGGCTATGATCCAGTTTTTGCAATCAGGGCCATACATTGGATTCCGCAAGTTGATCATAGTGAGTACATGGTGTCTATGACAGTTGATGATGAGAAGTTCCATCACATACCTCTCCCAAGAAGTAGCGGAATTCAAGATAGGATTGTGGAAATGCGTGGGGATCTTGGATTTGTGAGTCATGAAGAATTGTGCAAAATTGATGTGTGGATCTTGAGGAATTTATGTGGGGAAGGTTGGACGAAGCAATACAGCATCACTGTGGGTAGCGAGAGCTGTATGATCCCTCTTTACTTTTCAAGGATTTGTGGCGAAATGATTTTCCAGGATGAAGATGGCTCTTTATATGCTTATGACTGCTCTTTGCAGCTTATGAAAAATGTGGAAATGAAGAAGGGAAGTTTTCCTCTTAATTGCCACTATTTTACACATGTTAATAGCCTTCTCTCTTGGAAGATCCAGGGAAATGTGATTGATTAGCATATTTGCTGTACCAGTCCATTGTACATACCAAATAAACTTCATACTGAAACAGTTTCCTACAGGTTTGAGTGGTGATTTTTGCTTTGTTACCTCTAAAGCATGTAAAGCTTGGATCCTCTCTCTCTCTCTCTCTCTCTGTCTATATATATATATATATATATATATATATATCCAAAATGGTTGAGATCTGTCATTTGAATTCGCTTGACTGCGCGCTTGGACGCAATTATGATGGTCATTCACTTTGAAGATGCCTGTCTATGCGTGTTTATGAGAGTATAGGTTGGGTGTAGTGACGGAACAGGGAAGGTCATCTAGGATGCATGCTCATGTGCTGGGATTGAGAACACATAATCGACATTGAAGCTCTTAAAGTACATCAGCTACCTTCACATTAACAGTTGAATCTTTTACTCGGTGCGTTTTCTACTACATGGTTTTCACACACACACATATATATGCATAGACACACATACATATGCATATACACACACATATATATAGATATAAATATATATATATATATATATATATATATATATATATGAAAATAGAATGAAATCACGGCAATCTTGAACCTTTAGCCATGTGTATATACGCATAAAGTTGAATCCCATGTATTTTTATGCATGCACGTATATGTACGTGTATGCATATAAATAATGTACCATTGATGTAAATTCTCACTAGTGACATATTTAATAAAAAAAAGTGTGTGTTGAGCCAAAAAAAAAAAAAAAACTGTATATTGGTTGGCATAGTATGCATGATTACATGAACATCCTAGTGTTCAAACTTGTTTGATTATTTTAGCAAACTTGAAATTTCGTTCAAACTTGACTTGTTTATTTGTCGAACCAAATTTGAACAAATTATTTTATCGAGCTTGAATGTTATTGAATATAAATTGTTGTTCAAGTTTAGTTTGATTAGTTAGCGAACTAAATTGGAACGAATTTTTACCAAGTCGAGTTCGATTTGAGTATCGAATAGTTTGGTTCATCTTTTAGTCCAACAGCTTTTGAATTTTTATCAAGGAATGGTGGAAATTTATTTCAAGAAAGAAAATACATTGGCTTCAACCGGAAAGAAAGCCTTCATATCTTTCATTAATTTCAATAGGCTTCCGTTTGGAAAGGACACTTGACTAATTTGTGCTGTTGCATGCTTGGGCTGGTGAGGAGCGTGTAGAAAAATACTTGCGAAACCTAGTAGCAATTCCTAGCAAGGAAGGTAGAGTCAAGGTAATAATTAATAAAAGCATAAAGGCATTCATAATGATTGTTAATACAAAAAAAAAAAAAAAAAAAAGCTTAACTGTCTACAGCGGATAGTAGTTGACAAAACTTCAGTGGTGAACTACAAAAGAGAGGTAGGGCTCTGTCTCTCGAAAAAAACTCCCATGGTTAAGTCAGTAATTTATAGAGAATAAATTGCAGAGAAGGAAACTCTCCAAATGTGTAATTCTAGGGAGAGGATAGAATTTACTATATGAATGAAAGATTGACCTAAATTCCCACCAAACCTTAATGGGCCTTAAAAGCTGTAGACCGGTGCCTACCAATAATTTGAAACTTCTAAAATCATTTAAGGGTTGATATTTCTTTTTATATATCTAACGGTGAATTTATACTCACGGGTGTGGTATCAAAAAAGTATTGTTGAACTCCCGATAAAGATAATCATTCTTGAACCTAGATATATTTTGGGTAGGACCCTTGGCATCTAACCTTGATCCAATAGCTAAATAGTTTTGGAAACTTTTAGTTGGAAAATACTTTATTCTAAGGGATAATTTCAGGAAATACTTTATTATGAGATTTCTACACTTTTGCTACCCCGCTCCGAAATTTTAAAAATATGCTTACTTCATTGACTCTTACAATTTAGGAGATTTTACATGGTTATATGGGGGGGGGGGGGGCACAATTGAGCCACTTATAACTAAATTAACCATAAATTGGAATGCAATAAATTTGAAAATCTTGAATACTAAATCTTTTAATGATAATTGTTAACATTTTAAGATTCTTTTTCTATATTTTAGTAGTTCTTGTAATTTCTTTCCTGAAAAAAAGATTAATTTTCCTTTTGGTATATTATTACATCATAGAATTTTCACGAGAATAACTAGATACATATAAAAAATACGCAAAAAAGAGGGTGAAGTGTTAAAAGATGTTTACAATTGGATTTTATTAAATTACAAAGAAAATGTAATCACACATAATCTTTTTGTTTCCTTTCTTTTCCAAAATATTTGGTGTTTCTTTTCTTTTCTTTGCATATGTAATCCAAATAGGAAGGTTAGAATTCGATTTTCTCTACTTTGATTTCCTTTCTTTTCCATTAAAATCATTTCCTTTCTATTAATCCAAACATTGCATGAAAGCTGTTACTCTTTAATTACAAACAATGGAAATTTCTTATTAATTATGTGAAATAAAGGAACTCATAAGCGAAACAATAATTAAAAAAAAAACATATTTTAGCATATTTTATGATTAGCAATCTATTGTGGTATTTCTTCTTGAGGAGGCCATACTTTGTCTTGTCTAATTTTTGTTCAAAATCTTTCAAAGACCAATACTAAGAGTTTAGGAATTCTACATGTAAATCTTGATTCCGAAGTAACAAAATTTCCTCTCTAGATCTTTGATTTTGTTTTTTTTTTTTTTATGTAGTTTGCTTGAAAATAGCCATTGTTACCGAATTCTACTATAGTCATGCTGGTGTTGTATTTCCCTCAATTACGTGATACTTCCTAACTTTGGCCTTTACTTTTTATTTTTAACTAATATTCCATTTTGATTTTGAATCAACTAACTAGTACTAAGTGGAAGGTCACTTTTGGAATGAAATAATCTTCTCACTCTAGAAATCATTTTTTTATTCTTGATTTTTTTGAATTGGGTAGATTTGTTAAAAGAAAATAAGTTTTAAGGGCGGTTGTGATATTTTTAAAATCTCAAAATAGGACAGTGAAACTGTTAGAAACCCCAAAGGAGGTTTTTGAAATTATTTCTTATTTTGATGGAGAAATTTAAAAAAAAAAAAGAAGGCAAGGAAACAAAAGCCTTCTAGCTAACTAAGGCGCACAACATGGGCGCCCTTGCAAGGAGCTGATTTTATTTATACATATATATATATATATATATATATATATATATATTTATTTATATCAAAGGGTAAAATATAGAAAAATCCTCATGTGATTTTGCCAAGCTTAATTGGCCACCCTATGGTTTTGAAATGTCTATATAATCTCAGCATGTATTAAATTGATATGGAATTTGACCTACAACTAGTGTTGTTATACTCGGATAGGACTGGTCGATTCGACCAGTCCGATCGTGAATCGGTCAATTCGACTGATCCGATCATGAACCGGCCTTTTTCCCGAGTTGGTTTATAGTACAAAACTATTTTGGTCAAAAATTAGTCCAAACCGTTGAAAATTGGCTAAACTAGTGACCTAATTTGATTGGTTGAACCAATTCTCAAACATTTCTTTCTTATTTTTCCCAAACATAATTTTTTTAAACAAAATACTTATTATTATTATTCAAACTCAAAGGAGGTACAAACTACGCATTGGTAGTAGTAGATTTGACCCTACATCTTCGAAAATAAGGAAATGCAAGCTTATCTAACCGATAAGCTCCCTTGGCTACTGATAGCAATTCAGCTATACGTTCATAGATACAAACCAACCGGTCAGGAATAGCACACCCTTCGTTCGACAATACATCTGCCTCCTTGTTAGCTTCCCAATAGCAATGTGTGAACTTGGCACATCCCCGAGCTGTTTGCAATATCTGCTCCACCTCCCCACGGACAGACCACGGACACCGGCATTTTTCCAACAGAATACGTACTAACATCATGGAATCTGATTCAATAATCAGATTATCAATGAAGCCTCTCTGTACACATAACTTCAGCCCAATGAGTAGTGCTTTCGCTTCAGCTTGTAAGCTAGTTTCATCTCCAAGGTACACATAATTTGACTTACCAAAATTGTAACACTTTCATTTATAAATCGAAATAAGAAAATACCACCCACTTAATGCAAATACCAAAATCACTCCCTTTTTTGATTGATCTCTGAATCAAGATGTTTTCATCCCTATCATCTTATCAATTTAGTAGCAGTGATTCCAACTTGGATTAATTTATTTTAATTTAGTTTTTCATGTAGTTTTGGGGAATGGACATATTTTAACGATGAATTTACATTTTTATATATAATTATTAGGTGTATATTTGATTTCAAATCTAATGTTTTTGGAACATTTTGTATGATTGGCCGAATATAACTAAGAACTTAATTTCAATATTTCTGAAACTTATAAAAATATAAAATAATTAAGACATCATGTTGACGTCAACAGATTTTTGAGAACGGTCCAATTGATCCTACTAGTTGACCGCTAATCCAGTAGTTTAGCCGAATCGCTATCCGATCCAAGTTTAACAACATAGCGTAAAATTGGTGCATCATTTGCAAGTGACCCATAAATTTTTTTCTTTTCTTTTCATTGTCATTCCTTTTCTTTTTGGTCTTTTTGGTGTTAAAATTCCGGTATGGGTTTGACTTTTTCTTCCTTTTCGTTTCATTATTGCCTAACCAGCTTAGGGTGCTTTTAAAAATGTTAGAAATTTTGAGTTATTTTAAAATTATTGGAGGGGGAGAAGGAAGAGGGGAGGAGGGGGGAGGAGGTGATGGTCAGGGAGGACAGAGCAGGAAAAGGGAGGAGATAGCAAGAGGTGGTGGTGGAGGTTCTGGGGTGGTGAATGAAAGCATAGGGAAAAAGGAAGAAAAAGGAATATTAAAAAAAGAAAAAAAAAGGAGGCTAAGGAATAGGTAGTCTTTCTAAATAAAAAAAAGGAATGAAAAGAAAGAAAATATAAGAAATAATAAAAAAATACAACTTGTTTAATAAATGAGGGTATTTTACTTTTTACTGGTAACATAGTAGGTTAAAAATCAACTTTCTACATCTATCTACGGTATATGTAATGGGGGAGATCCCTTTTGTGTAAACAATTTAGGGTAAAATATCAAAAACTCCATGTGGTTTGATAAATGTTTAATTTAACTCCCTTTAGTTTGGAA